GGGTGCGTCGACCAGCTCGGCACCGCCGGAGAAACCGGCGCCGCCACCGGCCGCGCCGGCGCTTAAACCGACCGCCAGGTGGGTATTTTTAGGTCCTCAAAAATTTGCGTAGTTTAATCTTAAAATTTATACAATTTTTAGCAAGTTGCGCCAGCTCTCCGACGTCTCCTCGGTGTCGTCGAGCGATTCTGAAGATGATGTGAAGCGGAAAAAGGCGAAAAAGAAGAGCCCAATCCCGAAAAAAGAGGTGGGAAATAGCCTTCCCATTACATTCCCAAATGATCTCTGCTAGCCTGTTTAAACTCCTGATTGACTCCCGATTTCCAGGCCAAAAAGCGTCAACCCTCGCCGCCGTCAGCAAGTTCGGACTCGGAAACGGATTCGTTGTCCTCACTTGACGAGACTATCGCCAAGGCGAAGATGGCCGTCAGCCAGCCCCCTCCCCGGAAAGCCGCCTATCCGCCGCCGAAGAAGGTGCGCTGTTTTTCCGGGTATAAATCGACTTGGGGGCTTGATTGCTTTATACTTTTCTAGAATAATTACATACCGTAACTTTTTCGTAGTAAACACGAGATATCTTCCAGACCCAACCACCTCCCAAAAAACGTGGGCGAAAGCCAACGAAAAGCCGTGGCGACTCGTCGGAGGCGCCCTCCGATTCGGATGACGCTGACGAGCCAATGTTTCCGCCTAAGGACCCGTCGGTGAGTTAAGAGGGAAATTATTCAGCGAGGAAAAAGCGCTAGAATCAACCCACGTCGACTGGGTCTAGACAAACACACTCGTGGCCGACCGATCCAATAAATATCTGTGTTTGTAGGTGACCTACCACGACCCGGTGGCCGCCTGCGGCATGGACAAGGAATGCAACAGGCCGCAGACTTTGGAAGTGAACTGGGTAGGTGTTTATTTTTCTCACTCTAACGCTCGTACACACTATGTCTTACGTGTTCTCTCTCTCCCCCATAGCTCTCTCTCTCTCTCTCTCTCTCTCTCTCTCTCTCTCTCTCTCGTTCTCTTTCTATCTCTCGCACTCTCTCTCTCTCTCGTTCTCTCTTTCTCTCTCTCTCTCTCGTTCTCTCTCTCTTTCTCTCACTCTCTCTCTCTCTCTCTCTCTCGTGCTCTCTCTTTCTCAAACTATATCCAATTTTTCAGGTTTGCTGCGACGACTGTGACAAGTGGTACCACGCAATTTGCATCCTGGGAAAGGAGGATGTGAGTTTTTGGGCTTTAAAGGGACCGAGAAGCCTAATGGGGTCAGCGGGGCGAAAATCGAGCGCGTCACCTCAGCCTAAAAATTTTATCCTTTTTTGGCACTTTTTCGAACAAATTTAACCAGAAAGTCGACTCTTTGGAATTTTTTGTAACCGATTTTTTCATCATTTTATGCCTGAAAATTGCGTAAAATACTATAAAAAGTAGTTTGTAATTTGTGTAAAGGAATACTGAAAAAATGTCGTTTACACCCCTGCTAATAGTCCAGTACCAACGCTTTTTTATAGATAACCGGCCTCGGCGACTTTACCTGCGGCTGCAAAGAAGCAAAAACAAAGCCGAAAAAGAAGAAGATGAGATGACCTACACGGTTTTCAAAAAAAAAACCAACTCTCGAACTCCCTCCAAAAAAATCACAATTTCCCCCCATCGATCTCAATGCGGGCAGACAGCAGCAGGCGCTGAGCAGCTGCTGATATTTCTAAAGAATTTTTATCTGACTTTTTTGCTTGCATCACTTCTCCTACTGTACATTTGGCACCGTATTTTCCTGGCGAAAATTTGCATGTTTGTTCTTTTTTTAAATGTTTCGCGTTATAAAAGTCTAATTTTTGCATTTACCGAACTCTTCTCGACTCCTCCACCACCTTGCCTTTATTTGAGCCCAAGCCGAAGCTAATCCTAAGCCTAAGCCAAGCCTAGGCTAAGTCTAAGCTAGGTCTCAGCTAAGCCTAAGCTAAACCTAAGCTAAGCCTAAGCTAAGCCTAAGCTAAGCCTAAGCTAAGCCTAAGCCAAGTCTAAGCCAAGCCCAAGACTAAGCTTAGGCCCAAGCCGGATCTAAGCCTAAGCTAAGCCTAAACTAAGCCTAAGCTAAGCCTTGGCTAAGCCTAAGCTAAGCCTAAGCTAAGCCTAAACTAAGCCTAAGCTAAGCCTAAACTAAGCCTAAGCTAAGCCTAAGCTATGCCTAAGCCAAGCCTAAGCTCCAGCTCCTAATACGATTCTCCATCCCAACCGTATAAAATAGTGCCAAACATCTAATGAATATCTTTGCGTGTTTTTGTTATTTTCCCTGGCGCGGCGCCCGGCGAAAATTTGCACCTAGCTTTTCAAAATTATGAATTTAAATTGGCGTTTGTGAATTTAAAGAAAACGGACATTTAAAAATTCGTCTCCAAGTGAGCATTATTTTGATTAAAATTTTAAAGTATTTAACTTTATTAACAAGCCCAGATTCAAATTTCGCCACCCGCGCCCCTCCTCAAATCATACCGTAAGTAGCCGTTCGGGTCTGGCTACCGTGTCCCACCGTATCCTACCGTACCACTCCTCCCCCTTCTCAGCCTGTAGATCTGTTTTTGTCATTTTTATTAATTTTATTTTTCGATCTTCACCCTCGCCCCAAAAATTGTTAAAATTTTTCAACCCAAAATCTGGCCGTTTTCGCTGGTAGAAACACCGAATAAAAATGTTACAGACGTGATTATGTTTTTTTTCTGTTATTTTTAGCGCGCCTGAGGGAACTGGTTACGTGGAGGAAATGGGGGTAGAGCATTGGTCAGCTAGCAGAGAGCATTTAGGAAAATAAACAACTGAGCCGGATTCAGTTTTCAGAAAGCATTTAGGAAAATTTATAAAAAACGGAGCCCGGGTCAGCGAGCAGGGAACATTTAGGCAATTCCAGAAAAGCATCGAAGAAAATCTGGAAAAACCGAGTTCAGGCGAGCTATCAGAGAAAATTTAGGAAAATTGACGCCTAGAGCTCAGGAGAGAGAGAGAGAGAGAGAGAGAGAGAGAGAGAGAGAGAGAGAGAGAGAGAGAGAGAGACAGAGAGAGAGAGAGGGAGAAAGCGAGAGATAGAGAGAGAGAGAGAGAGAGAGAGAGAGAGAGAGAGAGAGAGAGAGAGAGAGAGAGAGAGAGAGAGAGAAAGAGAGAGAGAGACATCCCAACCATCCGTCCTAAGAATGTGTCTTCTGCAAGCTCGCAAAAAGTTTATTTCAATTACTAAAGCAGCGACGGAGAGTATCTACACGTGGCGTCGAAAAGAAGTGAAAACTCGACACAAATAAATAGCACAATTGGGGGAGGTGAGGGATTTTGATAAGTGGGTGGGGCTTCGAATGGGGGTACGGTAGGGCGAGGCAAAAAATTGCATTGTATTTTCAGGAATTTTTCACAAATTCGAGGATTTTAAAGGGACCAAGCTAGCTGTTTTGAGCTAAAACTCCCAAAAAAGCGGGCATGCGTCAAAAGGAATTTTTTCTGGATTTTTAAGCGTTCAATCAATGAGTTTTTTGAAAATCAGGCATCTTGAAAATGATCGGACTTTAATTTGACATTTTTCACTTAATTTCTTAGCCTTCACGGCCCCTTTAAAACGCCTAAATCCGGCCCCCTACCGTACGCCCGGGAATTACATTTGGTGACCAATTTAGTAAGGGAATCGTTACACAAAACACACAATTTGAGAGCCTGGAGACCGGTTTCGTGGTGGGGAAGTCGGGGTTTGGAAAATATGAAAATTGGGGAATGAGCAGATGGAAAAGGTTTTTTTTGAAGCTCATGCTCAAGCCGGTGGCTTAGGCTTTGGCGACGAAGCTGCTCGGGTCGTCGATCTGAAATGAGAAAGAATAGACAAATGAACTCTGCTAGCCTGCCCCTTCCATTCCCAAATGATCTCTGCTAGCCTTCCCCTTCCATTCCCAAATGATCTCTGCTAGCCTGCCCCTTCCATTTCCAAATGATCTCTGCTAGCCTGCCCCTTCCATTCCCAAATGATCTCTGCTAGCCTGCCCCTTCCATTCCCAAATGTGCTCTGCTGGCCTGCCCCTTCCATTCCCAAATGTGCTCTGCTGGTCCCCACCTGGAAGAATGGTGAATTCTTGTCGACATGGAAGGAATCATCGTTGGAGATAGCCTCGGCCGGAATCGAGGGCTAAAGATTTGGCATCTGGAGTGAAAGAGGGCGAGGTAGGAAGAGAGAGACAGAGCGAGAGCGAGACAGAGAGAGACGCACCTCCGCAGCCACCTTCTTCTCAGGAGCGGCCGCCGCTGGCGGTGGCGGGTCGTCGAAAGAGTCGCGGAGGGGCAGGAATTTGCCCGAGCTTCCGGGCTCCTGGACTGGGTGCACATCGATGGCCGCAGCCGGCTGCTCGTTCACCACGGAGGACTGCTGCTCGGCGGAATGCGGCTGGAATAAGCGTTAATATGCGTCTCTCTCCCTCTCCCTCCATCCCTCCCTCCCTCTCTCTCTCTCTCTCTCTCTCTCACCTTTTCATCTAGCTTCGTCCCCTCGACAACCTCCGGTCGCTCATCGGCGATGATGTCGGCCGGGACGTTGAATTGCTCCTACAAGTCGGCTTTTAAGGGGACTGGGACAATTGAGGATCGACCCCTTCCGGTGCCTAGGTCTAGACAGCTACGAGAGCCGGCATTACCGCGTTAAATTACCGTACCTTCTGCTCAAAGCCATCGTCGCCTTGGTCCTCCTCGTTCAGGTCGGTGAAGCGGGCCGGCTGCTCGTCGGCGTCAATGCGCTTCGCTTCGGCGGCGTCGGGCACGATGGCTGGCTGTTGGGGCTAAAAACAGGTTTATTCTCTTTCTCTCTCTGCCTCTCTCTCTCTCTCTCTCTCTCTCTCTCTCTCGCTCTCTCTCTCTCGCTCTCTCTAGCTCCTTCCCGTCCCAAAATGGGTCACTTGCATAAGCCAGCTTATCCCCCTCCCCTCCCTTCAAAAGCTCCAAACTACATGCCCAAACTCTAAACTACAACGAATTGACCGTTCATGGGAGCGGCTCGGAACTTTCTAAAAAAATTTTTTTGCGGTTTTTTTGGTTACTGTAGTGCCTACAGTGTAGTCCAGTTTCCACAAAATTCAGACAACTATTTATTCCGCTCTCCCAAAAAATGGAAACTAAGGAATTTTTGTAAAATAAATTATTTGTGTACAGGTGGAGCACGCGGGCTAGGCCGACTCCTAAATACAGAAATTCTGGAGGGCTAAACTTTTGTGGGTTAGAGCAAATCCAAATCAAATTCTACTACGCAAAATTATTTCCCCGCGTCTGTATCCCCTAAAAGATGCCCGGACTACCGTAACTGGACGTCGATGTTTGCTTTAATTACGGTACCTTGTTCTCCTGGATCCAGTTGTGGTACCAGGGCATCTGGGCGGCGTCGGCTGGTTGCGCCTGATCGGGCATCTGAAGGTTCACGGTTAGCCGGAGAAAAAGCGATGGAGAGCGAGGGAGAGAGGGAGAGAAGGAAGGAGAGAGAGCGAGAGAGACTCACCTGAGGCTGGGGCATCTGTGGTTGCTGCCACTGGTTCTGCCACTGCTCCCAGGCGTTCATCGGTTGCTGCGGCTGCTGCTAAAAATCCTCCCATTAAAGCTACTTCCCCAAGAATCCCTGCTAGCCTGCCCTGGGTACCAAGTGTGCGCCAGACTTCTAATAAGACACCTTTCCTTTAAAGGGACTGGCAAGAAAGTTTTTGTTGATTGTGAGTCCTCCTTTCTCGTTTTCTCTCTCTCACTCTCGGGTGAACGTCATTACTTCGAAAAGTCATTACTTCGAAAAGTCATTACTTCGAAAGTCATTACTTCGAAAAGTCATTACTTCGAAAAGTCATTTCTTCGAAAGTCATTACTTCGAAAAGTCATTTCTTCGAAAAGTCATTTCTTCGAAAAGCCATTACTTCGAAACGTCATTACTTCGAAAAGTCATTTCTTCGAAAAGTCATTTCTTCGAAAAGCCATTACTTCGAAACGTCATTACTTCGAAAGTCATTACTTCGAAAAGTCATTACTTCGAAAAGTCATTTCTTCGAAAAGTCATTTCTTCGAAAAGTCATTTCCTCGAAAAGTCATTTCTTCGAAAAGCCATTACTTCGAAACGTCATTACTTCGAAAAATATGCTAATTTGGAATGTTCATATCACAAAATTCATGACACTGACGATAAAACCATTGCGTAGGTACCATATGCCTATTCTATTAAGGCTATTACTGTGTAGAGTTTCGGTCTCTATTAGGATTGTTAGTTACCCCATCTCTACGAATTATTATTTTGTTATAATGATCCTTGCAGTCAATCACTGAAGCATCACGATGTTTACCTAAAAACGTCCGTGTATGTTTTGATGCTCTCTGAAGTGACATCAGTAAATGTTCGTATTAACCAACTAAAACATCGAAAAATCAGGGGGTAAAGTAAAAATTTGCCGATTTTTTTCATGCGACGTATAAAAAACTCGATCGAATAAACGGACCAATAGAGGCAGAAAGGTGTCAATTAGCGTCTGTGCTATGCATGTTTTTCGAAGTAATGACGTTTCGAAGTAATGACTTTTCGAAGAAATGACTTTTCGAAGAAATGACTTTTCGAAGTAATGGCTTTTCGAAGAAATGACTTTTCGAAGTAATGAATTTTCGAAGTAATGACTTTCGAAGTAATGATTTTCGAAGTAATGACTGGCAGCCTCTCACTCTCTCACTCTCTCTCTTTCTCTCTCTCTCCCTCTCCCTCTCACTCTCTACCTCCCTGCAATTTTTCGCAAAATCCATAGCCTTGCCATCCCTTTCCCGTTAAAACCAGTTACGCGCGACTTCAACTTACCGGCTGTTGTTGCTGCTGTTGTTGCTGGAACCAGTGTGGTTGTTGCGGCTGCTGCCCGAAGCCCTGGGCGCGCTCCCAGTTCAGGCCAAAGTTTGTCCCGAAATTCTGGCCAAACTCGGCGGCGAAGCGCTGCTGCTGCTGGGTTGGTTGCTGGAAAATTATGTATACATCTCTCTCGCTTTCTCACGCTCTCTCTCGTTCACTCTAGCTTTTTCTCGATCTTTCTCTCTCTCACCATCTTTCTATTACTCTCTACCCCTTTTTCCCTATCTCTCTCTCTCCCTATCTCTCCCTCTCGCTCTCTCTCCCTCTCTCTCTTTCTCTCTCTCTCGCTCTCTCTCTCTCTGTCTCTCTCTCCCACCTGCACCATCGGTTGACCCATCCATGGCTGTGGCTGCCCTCCCATCATCTGCTGTGCAAAGTCGGACGGCTGCTGCAAAAAAATTATTTTAGAGGTACCGAGAAGCCCGAAAGTCCACCCCTCGATGCCATTAGGTCTAGACGGCTGCGTGGCACGCCAATAACTGTATACAGTATCTAATTTTTGCCCGAACGACGAGGCGTACTGCTTCAACCGAGATACCATCGCCTGTACGTAGTTGTCTAGACCTAACCGATCTAAGGGGTCGAATCAGAGACTGCTTAGACTCTTTAAAGGGGCCATGAAAGTCCCTGTAAAGCTTTAGATTTCTTACCTGCATCATGTCTGGCCGGCGCGCGTTCATGAAGCTCTTGACAAACTGAAAAGGTTTTGTAAGCCAGATTTTTGGGGATTGAAAGGGTTCGAAAGTCTCAAAATCGACTCTTTCCATCGACTAGGTCTATCCAACAATACGACACGCCAAAACGGCTTGTAGAGCCGGCCTTTTTGTTCATTCACCAGGAGTGTTTTGGTGCATTGCGTGCCTGCCTAGACCTAGCAGATGAAGGGTCGATACGGCGCTTATTAGCGGCTTTCAAAAACGGGATCTCTGAAACGTACCTCCGAGGCGTCATCTCCATAAAGTTCGGTGACGATGCGTCCGGGCATCATTGGGTTTTCCTGAAAAAACGGCCTCAAAACGCATGGGCAGGCTAGCGGAAAACTTTGACGAATTGGGGGCTCGCGGGACCCTTTAAAATCGGTTTTCTTGCTATCGAGTAGTCTGGCAGTGAGCCTTGGGGAAATCAAGACCAGCGGGCCGAATTTAGCAGGGTGAAGCTAGCATAGATATTTTAGGAATTTCTAGGTTTCCAGCCCCTTTAAAACGAATGTTCAACCCTGGGACAGCAGAAATCTTTGAGGAATCTGATGCTTCCTGTCCGAATAAAACGCAAATTCATACCTTGTCGAAGTGATGCGTGATGCGGAGCTGCGGGCGCTCAGGAGCGTCGGCCTGGCCGTCGTTGTTGAACATCCACGGCTGGCCTTCGCCGGAATTCTGCAAAAATCACAGCTGCTCTGCTTGTCTAGATTTCTCTCTCTCTCTCTCTCTCTCTCTCTCTCTCTCTCTCTCGCTCTCTCTCCCTACTCTCCCGCTATCTACCTCAACCTGTTGCTGTTGTTGTTGTTGCGGGAATCTGTCGCGCCACGAGAAGCGATCGAACTGGCGTCTAAAAACGCTGATTTGGATGCTGTAGCGGCCACCGTACCCCTCCGAAGGCTCCTGCCAGTCGCCATTTCCAAATGGTGACGGTGCGGCCCATTCGCCGAATCCGTCCGCCATATTTTGGGGCATCTAAAGGGACAGTTCAAAAATTGTTCTCTCTCTCTGTCTCTCTCTCTCGGTCTCTCTCTCTCTGTCTCTCTGTCTCTCTCTGTCTCTCTCTCTCTCACCTCCTCCAGATCGTCCTCGGTCTCCCCAATCAGCGGCTGCTTCTTGATCTCCAACACCGACACCTAAAATCAAATATTACGTCATTTGCCCAAGTAACTCTGCTAGCGTGCCCCCCAAATGCCCCGTTTCCCCAATGAACAATGCTAGCCTGCCCCTTACATGAACGGGTCCCGGCAGGGCTCCATCAGTCGCGGCGGCCTTCAGCTTCTGGAGGATCGCTTTGAGGAAGGCGAGGCGCATGTCCTGGAACAGATTTTGAGTTTAAAGGGACCCGCAAGTGTAAAAATCGACGCATTGCATGGCCTAGGTCTAGACAGCTGACACGCCAAATCACGCATAACTGCTTCGTATTTTGGCGTGTCGTGTAGCTGTCTAGACCTAGTCGATGAAAGGGGTCGATTCTCGTGTTGCAAAGGTCTTTTTTGAGCACGAGGAAAGCAACTGCCGGCCGAAAACTTACTCCATCGACTTCCTTCGAGGATTCTACCGAGTTGTCGACTTGGTGCAGGGGTTGCTGACTGAAAATCACAAGAATTCTTTATTTTTTGCGCTCTTTCTCTCTCTGTTCTCTCTCTCTCTCTCTCGCTCTCTCTCTCTCTAACTTACTCGTGCCCATTCTCCAGCCGCTTGGAGAAGGCCAAGCGCTCGTCGATGACCTCGGGCGGTTGGTCGTTGTTCAGCCCCTGAAAAGGAGGTTAGGCTAGCAGAGATCATTTGGGAATGGAGGGGGGCATGCTAGCAGTGATTATTTGAGAAAACTTGTACCAACCTGTGCCGATTTTTGTGCAGCCGCAAACGCTGCTTGCTGTGCCTGAAGCTGCGACTCCCTCAACAAGTCCAGCCCGATCATGCGCTGCTTCAGCTCGGCCCACTTCAGACGCAGGAATTGGTCGTCGCGATGCCGAGCGTACGCCAATTCGGACAGCACGACGGCGGCTAGCAGCACGCAGAACACGACGGCGATGCACGCGAGGCAACCCTGAGGATCACGGTGTTAAAAAGTCACTCACTCTCTCTCTCTCTCTCTCTCTCTCTCTCTCTCCCGTCCCTCTACCATACCTTAAATGGACTCCTGCACTTCTTCTGCGTGGCCACCGGCAGCTGTGCGGCCGGCTTTAGCGGCGGCTCCGAGCAGCTGCTCGACGCCAGCGAGCCGGTTTCAAGCTGAAAATTTTTGTTATTAATGCCCTAAATTTTATAATGACTTATTAAATTAAATTAAATTAAATTTGATAATGAGTAAATACATTTATCCTTCAAAACTCCACAATTACGGCGCTCACCTTTTCATCGAGGCTCTTGGCCTTCTCCTTGTCGTCGAGGCCCACGGTGAACACCTTCATCCGCGGTTGATGCACCTGGAAATTTTAATTTAATATTTATATATGATAATGTGATTTTAAAAATAATACAACAATTTAAATAATCCTTAAATGAATATTCATAGCTCTTTTTCGTGAGGAAATCGCGTTCTAAAGGGATGATGACATCCAGGAAAAGCAAGCTGTGATGGCAAGCTAGCAGGGATCCATGTGGATTGATTGTGACAACACGGGCAAGCTAGCAGAGATCTTTGAGGGTGTTCGGGTGGAAAGTGACTGGCTGACTCATAAAAGATGCGCCTGTGGTCGGAAACACCGGCAAAACATCAGCGAGTGAGGGAAAGGAAAACAATGGAATGATCGCATTAACCGATTTCGTGGAGAAACCATATGACCGGGCGAGAGAGAGAGAGAGAGAGAGAGAGAGAGCAGCCTAGCAGAGACCCATTATAAATCGTAGAATTCAAGCCGAAACCAGCGAGAAACCTAAGGGAAGTGAGCACAGAGCATTTGGGAATGAAAGGGGCAGGCTAGCAGAGATCATTTGGGAATGGAAGGGGCAGGCTAGCAGAGATCATTTGGGAATGGAAGGGGCAGGCTAGCAGAGATCATTTGGGAATGGAAGGGGCAGGCTAGCAGAGATCATTTGGGAATGGAAGGGGCAGGCTAGCAGAGATCATTTTGGAGGCTCAAGTCCGTCCTTAAAGAAACCTCCTTGGCTTCGACGACCCTTTAAAACACAATTTTTTGGGAATCCGCTGAAAATTACGGTACGAGTACAGGAGCTGACCCCCCGGTGGTCCCGCGCCGAATAAAATGAAGGTTAAGGCGAGTCAGAAAGCGAGAGAGAGATAGAGAGAGAGAGAGAGAGAGAGAGAGAGACGCACGTCAGGAGCATCCGAATCCACTTATGGGAACTGGTTGGGGGCGAATGGGGCGCGCTCCCGACAAGGTCAACCCCTCATTTTTGCCGCCCCGTACGATACAATACTATCGACACTAGCCGAAGGGGTCGGGATTTTTGGGTTTGAAGGGACGGGAAGATAGAAAAAAATGAAGCGGGAATTTTACAGCGGAAAACGCCAGATTTTACGAGTTACTGGTTCCTGAAAGGTACATGGAAACAGGAGAATCAACCCCCTTCCATCAACTAGGTCTAGACAACTACGCACTACCAGAGAACACGCATTTGGCGCTTAGGCTTGGTTTAGGCTTAGGTTTAGGCTTAGGCTTAGGCTGATAATTAAGCCTAAACTAACGCTGAGGCTTGGCTTAGGCTTAGGTTTGGGCTTCAGCTTAGATTTAGGCTTTAGCTTAAGCTTTTACTAGCAAACTTACTACTAGCCGCTACTAGCTACTTCTACAAACCTAGTTACTAGCCCCTTTAAGACCCCAATTACCTCCTTTTTCGGGCTCCCAAAATTCAGCAGCATGTATTTCATCGAATATCCCGAGCCCAGGACGTGGATTTTGATGGATAGATCGGGGGTGAGGTTGGCCCGGTCAATATTCGCGAATTTCCAAAAATTGAGGCCCCCCAGCTGGAGGTTGGGCAGATTGGAAAAGTCACTCAATGTATCTATACAGCGCTGTTGAGGGGGTGGCCGGCTGCTCCGCGGCGATACTATGGACTGGCGGGTTTTGAAGGGAGTGAAAAGTTGGGGGAAAATTACAAAGGCTCTCTGCTAGCCTGCCCCTTCCATTCCCAAATGATCTCTGCTAGCCTGCCCCTTCCATTCCCAAATGATCTCTGCTAGCCTGCCCCTTGCATTCCCAAATGATCTCTGCTAGCCTGCCCCTTGCATTCCCAAATGATCTCTGCTAGCCTGCCCCTTCCATTCCCAAATGATCTCTGCTAGCCTGCCCCTTCCATTCCCAAATGATCTCTGCTAGCCTGCCCCTTCCATTCCCAAATGATCTCTGCTAGCCTGCCCCTTGCATTCCCAAATGATCTCTGCTAGCCTGCCCCTTCCATTCCCAAATGATCTCTGCTAGCCTGCACCTTCCATTCCCAAATGATCTCTGCTAGCCTGCCCCTTCCATTCCAAAATGATCTCTGCTAGCCTGCCTCATCAATTCCCAAATGATCTCTGCTAGCCTGCCCCTTCCATTCCCAAATGATCTCTGCTAGCCTGCCCCTTCCATTCCCAAATGATCTCTGCTAGCCTGCACCTTCCATTCCCAAATGATCTCTGCTAGCCTGCCCCTTCCATTCCCAAATGATCTCTGCTAGCCTGCCCCTTCCATTCCCAAATGATCTCTGCTAGCCTGCCCCTTCCATTCCAAAATGATCTCTGCTAGCCTGCCCCATCAATTCCCAAATGATCTCTGCTAGCCTGCCCCTTCCATTCCCAAATGATCTCTGCTAGCCTGCCCCTTCCATTCCCAAATGATCTCTGCTAGCCTGCCCCTTCCATTCCCAAATGATCTCTGCTAGCCTGCACCTTCCATTCCCAAATGATCTCTGCTAGCCTGCCCCTTCCATTCCCAAATGATCTCTGCTAGCCTGCCATTCCCAAATGATCTCTGCTAGCCTGCCCCTTCCATTCCCAAATGATCTCTGCTAGCCTGCCCCTTCCATTCCGAAATGATCTCTGCTAGCCTGCCCCTTCCATTCCGAAATGATCTCTGCTAGCCTGCCCCTTCCATTCCCAAATGATCTCTGCTAGCCTGCACCTTCCATTCCCAAATGATCTCTGCTAGCCTGCCCCTTCCATTCCAAAATGATCTCTGCTAGCCTGCCCCATCAATTCCCAAATGATCTCTGCTAGCCTGCCCCTTCCATTCCCAAATGATCTCTGCTAGCCTGCCCCTTCCATTCCCAAATGATCTCTGCTAGCCTGCACCTTCCATTCCCAAATGATCTCTGCTAGCCTGCCCCTTCCATTCCCAAATGATCTCTGCTAGCCTGCCCTTCCATTCCCAAATGATCTCTGCTAGCCTGCCCCTTCCATTCCAAAATGATCTCTGCTAGCCTGCCCCATCAATTCCCAAATGATCTCTGCTAGCCTGCCCCTTCCATTCCCAAATGATCTCTGCTAGCCTGCCCCTTCCATTCCCAAATGATCTCTGCTAGCCTGCCTCTTCCATTCCCAAATGATCTCTGCTAGCCTGCACCTTCCATTCCCAAATGATCTCTGCTAGCCTGCCCCTTCCATTCCCAAATGATCTCTGCTAGCCTGCCCCTTCCATTCCCAAATGATCTCTGCTAGCCTGCCATTCCCAAATGATCTCTGCTAGCCTGCCCCTTCCATTCCCAAATGATCTCTGCTAGCCTGCCCCTTCCATTCCGAAATGATCTCTGCTAGCCTGCCCCTTCCATTCCGAAATGATCTCTGCTAGCCTGCCCTTCCATTCCCGAAATGATCTCTGCTAGCCTGCCCCTTCCATTCCCAAATGATCTCTGCTAGCCTTCCCCTTCCATTCCCAAATGATCTCTGCTAGCCTGCCCCTTCCATTCCCAAATGATCTCTGCTAGCCTGCCCCTTCCATTCCCAAATGATC